TGCTGTGTCTCCGGGGAAGGCTTTGGCAACTTCTCGGAAGGCTGGGAGACTTCCGAGCCTTCTGAGAAGGCCTTCTCCTTCTCACTTCCCCCTCGCTCGCCGCGGACAGGATAGTGCTTTCGCCACCCTGGGCGTCGCCATGTGACGGGTGCAGCAGGCTGCAATTCGTCTCCGCCCAGATGACGGGCGCAGCAGACTGCAGCTTGTCTCCGCCTTCCTGCGCTGCCACCCGAAGAGTAGAGCAGAACTGGTTCTGCCAGATCCCTTACGCTTCTGAAGTGATTCCCAGTCTTCCTCCCATCCCCGTCCCTCATCCTCCTCATCCTCATCTGCCCCCTCGTCGTCGTTGCTTTGTGGTCGTTGCTGTGCTCGTGGTCGCCGCTGTCGGCGTTTGCGTCGTCGTTCTCGCCGTCATGGGACGCATACCTGAAGTGATCCAACTAGCGGGTTCCAAGAGTGGTTGAAGGCTGGCTTCGGTTCAGAGAGAGCCCAGGAGGCACGGGGGCGCAAGGACTCTGTGCGCATGGTCTCGAGCCGGCATGGCCACAGAAAGGAATGGAGGGGAGGAGGACGGCGAAAACGAGGAGGAGGAGGTCCAGGAAGAGGAGGTGGAGGACGACCGCGAGGAGAACAAGGAGGACAAGGGGGCGAAGGAGGAGGAGGAGGAGACAGAGTTAAGGGGGGGCACAAAATGGGGGCCTTCTGGACTACAGCGCAGGTTGCCATGAGATTTGAAGGGATTGTGTTTGTAGGGGTTGTTATCAACGTGGCCCTCTCGGGGCTCGAGTCGTATGTCCTCAGCATGACGAAGCCCCTCACTCGGCAGTCTCTGGAGCCCCTTCAGCAGCTGATATTCAAATGTGCGCGAGTGGTCCTGCATGCCAAGCACACACATCGTTCTGAACATAAGGTACGTGCACCTAGTAATCTTGAAGTCCAGCGTCTGATGAAGTTCGGCAGCCTCTTCGTTGAGCTCAGGATCAGAATATTGAAGTGGTTGCAGGACACTGATGCGAAACAGCGTGATCATCGTCAGGTCATAGCCGCTCTTGTGGGACAGGCGCAGTGTGAGTCGGCTAACTTAGACGTCTCGAGTGATGGCGAGGTTCTTCCCACGCCCCACTCGTGGACAAAACAGTTTTGGGCGGATGTGCAAGCACTCTTTGAGATTGAGGACGGGGAAGAACTGCAGTCAGAACTAGAGGGCAAGTTTTTAAGGCTCTTCCCGGGGGCTATGTTTTGTTTGTGTGTTCGGTGTGCAACAGCCCTTTTATGACGCAGAAGGCCGTTGTGGCCCACACGAATCGGGCTTGTGCCCTTGTTGGCACAGACAGAGGTCCCCTGCGAGAAGCTGCTTGCACGACGTATCGAGTGCCACTGCGGTTACGCTTTCTATCTATTGCCTGCTTTGCCAAAGTACCTTTTGCAGACAGAGAGATAGCGCAGTGGCATCTTGCGGCAACAATTAAACACAAACGATGTATGACATATCTCAATGCCAGAAGCCCTGAGCGCGTGGTGCATCAGTGCACACAGCGCACCCTCTGTAGCTTTTCTGTTCCGACGCCAGAGCTACTTGATCGACATATTGTTGACACACACGCAGTTGGCGAAACATCTGGACGAGCACATTCTTACCTTTGTTGCCGAAGTGGCTTCGCAGTGCAGGCACAGGAGCCATCTTCTCAAGCGGAGGCGCAAAAGAGCAAAAGAGTGAAGTCGAACACCGCCAACGTAGCGAAGAAACTGTTCCTTCAACTGGAAGCCCAGAATGAGAGAACGAGAAGCCAACGACACTCACTTCAGGTCCCCAGCGGGCCACCGCGTTCCTATGAACATGAAAAAAGACCACCGCCCACTACGACGAGCAGGTCAAGCAGATAGGCAGCGGGCACCAGCTGGGCAGTCCACATATGCACGCGTTCGCCAGCCTGCTAGAGTGCCTCAAGGATGCCAACGTGGAAGGCAAGCCAGACGAGATCAAGGTCCTTGTCCTGGCGCCAGGCAGGCTTCACAAAGCAGTGGTGATCGACAGTCAGCCTTCAGAGATGGAACAGTTCTGTCACTCGTGCCGCGTGAGCGACTATCATGTCAAGACGGGGGCTTAGCCCATGTGCAGGATCAACTTCGCGGTCGATGACCATTGGCCGCTGGGCAGTAACCTAACAGAGGAGGAAGAGCTGAAGTCCATTGTGGCACATCCCCTGGAGCTAGACTGCAGCAACAATTATGTGCACGTCACCGTAGCAAGGCTCCTCTCTCTCTGACCATGCGCGCAGCAGGGATGACCAATATACCAGGCAAGGCGCCGGTAGGAGGCCTAGAACATTCAATCAGAGGCAACCAGTAGCAGTGTCAGAGCCTGTCCATATAGGAGCAGCAAGCAGCAGCGGTAGGACGAATAGCAAGTCCAGCTGGGGACCCATTCTCCCTCCTTCGCCCCCTCTTGAGCCTCTTCCTCCTCCTCGCCCTCTCTCCTCAGCGACCTCGCGGGAGCAGC